TTTTTGAGTTGGAGTCTGACTCCATTGCCCAGGCTGAAGTGCAGTGGCACACTCACGGCCACCTGCTGGGCTCAGGTGATCTTTCCGCCTCAGTCTTCCAAGTAGCCGGAACTACAGACGCGCGCAACCATGCCCGGCTAATTTTTTGATTTATTGGAGAGATGAGGTCTCACCAAGTTGCCCAGGCTGTTCTCGAACCCATGGGCTCAGGCAATCCTCTCACCTTGGCCTCCCAAATTGTTGGGATTATAGGCTTGAGCATCGCACCTGGTCTATTCTTACAGATGAATTTTAGGGTCTGTTTGTCTAGTTCCAGAATAACACTGTTAGTATTTCAGTTGGAGTTTCACTCATTTGGGTATGAAGCTGGGGACAGTTGCTGTCTTTACTATTTTAAGTCTTCCATTCAGAAACAGTGTAGTTTACCTCTTTCCCAGCCTCCTAAATAATGTCCCTCTGTACAGTTTTGCAGTTTTCTTCATGTAGACTCTGTATCTTCCTTGATATATTTATTGCTAGGTAATTTATAGTTTTGTGGTATTGTAAATGGGATTTCTCTCCTTTAAATTTGTCTGACCATTTTTGGTGTGGTGAGCTAATGTTTTTTTTATTTTCTTGTGGATATTTTTTACATAAGTATCCCACCCCAATTTAAGCAGGGGGACTAGGGGTGCTTGTTGCCTGAGGGGAAGAACTGATAGAGCAGACCACCCATGATGTTCTCAAACTTCTGGCCTTTGTGCTTCCAAAAGGCTAACCCGCTTTACCACAGGCCCCTCAGCAAGACAGAGGGAAGAGTCTGGGGAGGAATCTCAAAACATTTCAAGATGCTGGCAACTCAAGAAAAATCAGGCTGGGCGCAGTGGCTCATGCCTGTAATCCCAGCACTTTGGGAGGCTTGAACCTAGGAGTTCAAGACCAGCTTAGGCAACATAGCCAGACCTTGTCTCTATTTAAAAAAAAAATAGCTGGATGTGGTGGTGCGTGCTTATAATCCCAGTTACACAGGAGGTTGAGATGGAAGTGTTGCCTGAGCCCAGGAGGTCAAGACTGCAGTGAGTCATGATCTTGCCATTGCATGATTTAGCCTGGGCAACAAAGTGAGACCCATACTACAAACAAACAATAAATAAATAAATAAAATCAGACTTTTTTTTTTTTTTTTG